TCTGAGTCATTTTGGACAATCTTTTAAGTTCTACTGTCACTTTGAACATATTTAAAGCTGCGTTTCCTTTCAGTCCAACTGAAAACAAACTGGTTTACACTGTTTTGTCCTCGTTTCTCTGAATCTCTACAAACTCAGACACAGCAGGACCTTCAATGGAAACCAAAGTCTGTTAAATGTACACTTCCTGCTCTGTGACAGAATCTGGAGGCCTCCGTGTGTTTACCGATGCTGTGTGGATGCTGCTGTGTGTCCGGCAGGTTTCCACTATCCTCTGTACGGGAAGACGGCGGGCAGGGAGGAGTCGGAGGTGACTCCGCCCGGCAGAGGAGGCGCCGTGAGCAGCAAAGCGAGCGGCGACTCGTCCTCGTCCTCGGCCATGGAGCTGCTGCAGCAGCAGAGTCACCAGTACCACGGAAAGTCCCCCGCTGTGAGGCAACATCCACACCGCACAGCATCACCTGACACACAAACACACACAAACCTCGGCTCAGCAGAGTCCATGACTTTAATTATAATAAAAATAAACCTTAATACTGCTTCAGAGCAACAATAAAACTTTAATTCCACCGTTTGCATTTAACACAGCTTTGTTGAGTTTGTTTTATGGAGAAAACATCCTAAAATAAAAGTTAAACACGTTTTAAACCCTTAAACAGAGAATTCAGCAAAACATGTTTCATAATAATAGTAAATAAAAATAAATATAAAAAGATTTTATTTAAAAATAATAATAATAATAAGTTTTATTTTTCTGCATTGGTACATATGATTTATTTTTATTAATATCATTTTTTATATTTCAAAAAAAATGTTAAAATTAGTTATTGAATAATAGCGACAATAAAGTGATTTTCGATAAAATATCACAATTTATTTTAGATTTGGTGATTTTTTTTCCCCTCCTGATTGAACCACATGTCACACAGAGTAATAAAAAAATAAAAATAATAATATAAAATTTAAAATAAATGAATAAATAATAATAATAATAATAATATAAAATTTAAAATAAATGACTAAATTATAATAATCTGTCTTGATAGAAATCATCAGGATTTAAAATGAGATGGATAAAAATACAATACGGTAAATAAAGGCTGCGAAAATTTAAATGACATTGGAAAAAAATAAGTTCAAAAGAAACTAAAATCATTAAAGACTCTCAGATAATCAAAAGGGTAAAATGAAGTCGAGGCGACAAGCTGTTTAATTTTAAGGCAGTTTAGACGAAGCGTTTGTCTTTTTGTCTTTTTGGATCATTTCTGTGTAAATGAGGTCAAGCTTCGAGTCATTTTTAATAATTCGGCCTCAACTTCTGATCGTTTCCCTGAGATGTCAGATCATTTTACAGAACGCCAGAGCTTCCAGTGTTTTATGTTTTCCGGTTAATTAGCAAAGCGACCTGTTGACTTCCTTGTTGCAGCAGACGCTCTCCTCTCTCTCATGACTCACAACTAAAAGGCTTAAAGTCGAGTCTTTGAGGAAACTTTCAGGAACGTTTCAACGATGTGACGCTGTTTGATTTTCACAGTGTAATAATAAAAAATAAAATTAAAAACACTGGCAGAAAAATGGTTGAGAAAAGCTTGGAGATGGAGTTTTATAATCCTTTAAGTTGAGCAAGAAAGTTAATCTTGACTTTGGAAGCAGCACTTTGACTGTTCTGTCTGTTTTTCTGCACCTGCCGCTGAGCGACGATAAGAAAAGTGACGACGAGAAAGTAAAAAATAAACCAACCAAGACTTGTATTAGTGGGAAAAAAGCCTTAAAATTGCATTTTTGAAGGAGAACTGGTGGTTTTTATCCATTCACTTCAATGCAGGTGGGTTTTTGTGGGACATCTAGTGGTGACGAGAAGAACTGCAGCTTCACTGAACAAAAAACGTTTGTGTAAACACAGGAAATTTGACTCTGTTTTGTTTTTTTACTCTCAAGTACAGCGAGTTTTGGTAGAATAAGATGTTTTTAAAAATGTGTGTTTCGCAATAATTAACAGCATGATTCTGAATCGTCAGCTCCCAATGTGATATAGTTTAATAAACACTAAACATCTTACTACAATATACAAAATCAAACCTAGAAAATAATCACACGCAGAGCTGCTGACTCCATCTCAAACACAAAATGTCTTGTCAATGTCAATGTTTTTTTAAAAAAGAAAAAGCAATAAGCACAAAAAAAGAAAATTAAAATTATTTTGACCACCTCAGTGGCCGACTTACTTATTCACATAAAAATGTTCATATAATAAGATATTTTAAAAAAAAAATCATATTCATGCTAGAAAAAGCAGTAAAATAGCTACAAATTGCCGCTGAAGCTTTTATTCTTGCGATCATTCGAAAACATGTCTGTGCTGTTTATGTATTCACCAATATACAGAAAATCTGTAAAATAACAGCAAAATGTTTCATAAACAAATAAATAAAAATGCCAGGACCTGGTTGGCACCGACGCATCAGTTGCCATGGAGATCTAGCTGTGCAGCATCAGTCACCATGGAGATCTAGCTCCACAGCATCAGTTGCCATGGAGATCTTGCTCCGTAGCATCAGTTACCATGGAGATCTACCTGTGCAGTATCAGTTACC